TTAATAATTTGATTCTGGTTTGATCAAGAATCTTTTGAGATTCAGATGGATTGAATACATTTAAAGCTGTTTTCTTCGTGGTGTGGACTAGTGTTATCGCCCCCCCCCCCCAGCGGCATGTCTTCGGACTTACAACGCTAGAAACCGGGTTTCGATACCCGTGGTGGGCAGTGCACAAATAGCCCTTTGTGTAGTTTAACTACAAACAAAACAAAACAAACTAGTGTTATCTAGGGAACACAGGATGTGTAATGCACGTTAGGCGTTCTGGAATCCGAGTCATTATCGTGTTGATGTTTTATAAGGTAGGATTAGGTGTTCTGCAGTCGTAACATTTTATGAGCTATATTACTGTAAAATGAGATTAGTTGTTTGGAAATCTAGGTCATCAGTTTGCTGGTTACTTAAAAAAACACCATATATGGTAATGTGTGGAACCTAAGTCATAAAAGTCTAATGTCAAAAGATGGTGTGAATGATATTTCAAAATTTACATAGAAGATTTTAATTTTCTCTTGTTTTTACACGGGGAGTCAGTAGTAGTTATAAACTTACATTGTTTTCACGCTGAATGCCTCGAGTTTCTAGGAGGTTGGTGGGGGCTGGGTATATGATGTGAGGAGGAAGGATGGTAACGGTCAGCCTGTGTAAATATCGCTTAGATGTAGAGTTAGAGGTTTTGTTTGTAAGGAAGATCTGCATTAATATACAGGTACTGCCGTCAACTTCCTGGCGAGAGAAGTAGCAGTCCGAAAACAAAAACTGGTTATCTCAGTCAGTTTACGCATAGTATTAAGTACCTAGTAAATCTGGTTTATCAAGCGGACTTTGAGATTTCTGGGTAGTTTCTTTCTAGTTATTTCGCTATTGTGTATACAGTTTCCTTGTATGACACGTTTTGTGCAGTTTTCACAAGAGAACAGTTTGTTGTCATACACATATGAACATTTAGGCTCATTTTTACTATTAAACTAATACTGTTCTAAGACTGTTTTGTTAGTCACTTATTTGTTGTGTAATATTTTAGCCCTTCCTGATGCATAAAAATGATTACTGTGACTTTCTTTACTCGTTAATCCACAATATCAATTGTTTTAATATTCATCACGCACCTGTTCTATTATATCATTATAATGGAACGTTTGTGGGTTGAGACAGGTTTTGTAGACAACCAAAACATTCACAATGAAACTTGTTCCTGCTACAGTTTAGAACCAATCTGCAAACCTTGTCGAGTTAAAAACAATAAAACACTATCTGTCTATAGGGAGAAAGAACACGTTAATATATTTAAAAAAACTCTATTTTATGAAATTCTGGACTCGGGTCATATCGATTATTCATTCATCGTGGTCTTTCTCTTACGCTCGTTAATGTTTCAAATTTGTGTTAACATATTTATAGGTCTTGGAACTGTACAAAAGATGGCGCTACGATAATGATGTTTGTTGATATTATAGTTATTGGATATATCAAAATACGCGGTATGAGATGTGCTAAACATAGAAAAAAAAATAGAAATATAGTGGAAGCACTACTTCAGTTTCATGCAGAACAGGTCAACCCATAAATGATAGAAAAAATCACTGGTGCATTGTTCCTCATCCTTACTAGGCTTGTCTGATATGCAACAGCGTAATATTGTTATTTGAAAGTGGGCCGGTGTTTGCCATATCTTTGAGAATAAATATCCAATTGTCCATTTTAGTGCTGACCGCAACCTTACACAGATACCAAATATTAGACAAAGACATCTGGAAAGTTTGAAGTAATCACGTAACTGATGATTTAATTATTAGTCGTGACGTTACAGACATTTTAACATACGCCACGTGATCCATTAATGCTGTCCGAAGATGGTAATGTGCTCAATTAATCTCTCTCACACCATATAAAATAAAATATGGTGCCAAAATTATTCGTCAAGTTAATGGCGTTATCAATCGCCTATACGTTTTCAAAAAACGTTTATTGCATTCAATAATGTATCGGTCTAGAAATTAATATTAACGGTTTAACCCATTACACTCATTTTAAAATCGTAAGATATGCAATATAAGATTAGTGCAAAAGAAAACTTCGACAAATACTTAGCCAGCAAATAGATTTTTAGAGGGTCAAATCGGCGATATGTTCTATAATCGTATTTAAAAAAAAAGGATACCACTTATGTACATAAATTTAATAAATAACGTAACAACTTTAGGTGGGTAAAGTTAAATCTAATTAAAAGAATACGTACAGTATTTCGGCAGCACGTACTGCCGTTGAAGTGTAATCTTGTACCTAATAATGGCCGTACGTGCTGCAGAAACGTTCTACTTATTATTTAGATAAATAAAATTTACGTACTTAAAGCTGTTGAGGTTTTAGTTATATTTATTTTGTAGTCAGTCTAACAATCACAGCGCACCTCTAGGCCGATCCATTGATAACTTACCACGACGCCACGATTCTGGAAATACAAGTTCTAGTTCATCATGAAAAAAAATAAATAACTCTATATTATCAGGAAAGATCGGAACATGTTAAAGTAGTTTTCGTAATGAATTAAACAAAGCTGAAAACTAATAAGGACAGCTGCGTTATTCGTGCATATGTACACGTGTCTGCAGGACGAACATTTCAGTGGCACGTGACATTCTCTTATATTTACTTCTACGGAAAATACGTTAAGTTATGGAAAATTGTCTCGAAATGTAAAAAAACAACAACAACAACAAAACAGTTCTTTTGTGCATGTAATGGTTGATTTAATTCTAAAACTGTTTTAAAACTCCACTTTTTGTTTAATTTCCTAAGTTTAAATTAAATTTGTTTACTAGTTAGAACTAATAAAGCGAGTCCAAGCTATGTGGTATTTAATATAAGTAAGATCGCATGATTTTTTTGTGAAATTTCCTTTTTTACAGGATGATTTAGTTCATCTAAGTCTAGTTGTTGGGAATTATCTGCTCAAAGTTACCTGTTTTAATAATTTATTTACTGTATCTTTCAGTGCCATCTAATTAAAAATATTGATAACTTTAAAACGTGTGTTATTTAAATGGAAAATTTTATGACTAAAATATATGTGCTGAGAAACGTATGCCTTTGTTCTGGTTGTGATGCTTCGTTGAAGTGAATGAATATTGGAAAAGACAGTTTTAGATGTGAAACTGTAGAGGTCTAGGTCAAAGTGAGTTCCACTCAAAACTAACAGTGGTTATACAGATTGTGTTCAAAGTGATATCCTGTGCTATAATTGGCTTTTACATCTTAATTAATCATAATTCCGTTCATCTTTTGGTCATGTTCAAGTTTAAGAAGCTTAAGATGTTACCTGAATAATTTAAGGTTATTCATTTATTTGCAGATTGCCAGAGCATGATGATTTCCACTAAGTTGGTAAAAAATGGGAATCATCATCATAGTGTGTAGGTATTTCATTCAGGCAAAGTATTTCCTGTGTTGCACACTAGATTAGACAATATATTTTGAACTCTCCCTTATCATCAAGTCTCTACATTTGCTTACATATCCTGACTGTTCATTGGGTGTCCTTGGTGAATAATTGGCATGTTTACAACAAGCTGAAAACTTAGTGTAGCATAAAATGTATTGTGGTCAGAGTAGTTTTGTGGCATTGTTAATGTGTTTCAGTTGAGTGATTGTAGTAGAGAAAACAAACTTTCACATGCAACAAGATCACAGTCTGTATGGTTATATTTGTGTGCCCTTTGTCTACAATATAGAACTTGTATTTTTTTATATGTTTCAACTCTGTAGGGATTCGGGTTTTGCAGATGCTTATTATTCTGTGATTCACTTTCATTTTCAGCTGTTTGTATTGTTGGTCTATTTTTATTGTACTGTTATCTTCCTCTTTTAGGAAGTTCTCATGCAACACAAAGATGAGAACAAGGACACAAATTTATAGGATGCTCTACTGCTCCTAAACTTGGATCTCTTGCTAAAGAATAGTCTTGTAAAATAATTCAGGCATGGATTAAAAACTGGTTCATTTGTTTATCAGAGGTTGGGCTCTGATATTGATCCTAAACCTTTACAAAGTTTGGTTAGTTTTTATTTTTAGCAAATAATCGTGAACTGCTACTGAACATTTAAAATGTTTTGATTTTAGATAGAAGTGTAGATGTCCTTCTAATTATTCAAAAGATTGGACTGTTTTTGAACTACATTACTGCCTTTCGTCTCCAGATATGATTTTTGCTTGTAATTAAACCATGATTGTATTTCAGGAGTCACTATTTTTAGAAAGGATGGGCTGATAGCTTCGAATATATATATATATATATTTATTATGGAGATTTATAAATTTATGAAAGACATTTAAGGTTATGGAGTAATTTTGGAATATAACAAATGGAATATAACAAATTGTAAGCTTGGAGTAATACTCCTGCTATCTTTAGAATTTGGGTACTATTATGTTTTGGGTCATAATGAACTTGGGCAAGTTCAAACAAATATATCTTTGAGTTGATGAAATATTTTTTAATTTGATAACTTTTATATTTTTATGTTTAGTATTAAAAATTAATGAAAATTCATTATGATAAACTCAAAGATATGTTTAATTGCATCATAATGTTATGAAAACCAGCCCTTGGTCAAATAGACTCGCAACATAATAGGAAGTTTAATGTAAAATATCCATAACTACACCTCCACAAGTACTGCTGCAATAGTCAGAGTGATTCCTTTCAATGCCTTTTATACTCATACAGTCAACTCTGGAATCTAGTACATTTATTATTATTAAAATATATAGAATTCAATAACTACGTAAGTAATTAATTATCAAAGCATAAAGCACATGGCTATACAGATGGAAGTATTGCCAAATTTTTTATTGAACCATAGCTTTAAGCTTATGATAATGAATGTTACAGTATGATTAGGTTTGTTTTCCAAAGATAGAAATGGTTTAGATTGTATCTTAAGTTCTTATGAAGTTATTATAATTTTTATTCACTATTAAGTCAATTTTTTTCTAGATATCAGATATAATTGGACAGACTGATGAAACAATATCAGCCAGAGATGCACTCTTAAACTGGGCACAGCGTATGACTGACCTCTATCCTGGGGTCACAGTTATAGATTTTACAAGCAGTTGGAGAGATGGTCTTGCTTTTAATGCCATAATTCACAGAAATAGGTAGGTCTTAATAGATTGAGATTCTACTATCTTTGACAGTTTTACAATAATATATATATTTTAATTCTTCCTAGATATTTTTCATAATTTTTGTTAAACGATAGGTAATCTCCTTTAAGATACTTAAATACTTGCACTGTTTTAAGTTAATTTGGAGAAGGTGATATTAGAAACTGTTGTAACTAGTATTTAAATTATAAACACATATTCTAACAGTCATGTGAGAAATGCAATATTTTTATTATTTTGGTGTTGGATAACTGTTTGGTTAATTATATTGTGTGAAAGCCACAACACAATAACAAAGAAGTGGAAAGATTTGACTATAAATAGTTTACTTTTAATAGCAGCATTGATAACTGTACAATTTAGGATAGTTATTGAAATTACTTTCCCTTTTTTTCCAGGCCTGACCTTATTGATTGGAGGTCACTGAGGGCAAATTCTCCTCATGAGAATCTGGAATTAGCATTTTCATTAGTGGAGAGAGAATATGGAGTAACCAGACTTCTAGATCCAGAAGGTTGGTGAATGCATAATTTCATTTTACAGTATTAGTTGACATGTAAATTCTAAATGATTTTATGAATAAGATTTAAGAACATTTGATGGTTGTGTGAGAAACAGAGACAAATATGTTGGTTAGTAGAGATGAACAAAAACAGAAATAACTAAACCAATTGCTGGTTCAAATAGAAAATTTAAACTTTTTTTTTTGAAATTCTGTATAAAATCCTTGACCTTCTTTAACATAACAAAAGCCAGGAAAACTAGTAGCTAGCTTTCTTTAAACTGTGATATGTAGTAATATCAGCTTAAAAAACTGGTTTGCCCTGGAAACTCATGCTGGTGAAGCTTGATTCTATTTTTTGGTAATCACGAGAACTAAGCTCGTGCTGCAGGTTTTGTTGCATAAGATACAGAAACTGAGTTAAAAGGGTGTGTAAGCTTGTCTAGAGTTTGCTGTAATATGTAAACTGTTTTTGTGCATAAAATGAATATAAGACACATAGCATTATGACTAAGTTGCTGTAGTTCTTATATTGTGGAGAACATCTCTAGCTGATCCACATTTCACTAGCAAACATTGATTTGGGGGAACATGATCAGTCATCCCAATATAAAGAATGGAAATGTATTTTAAGCCATCATTTCATGAGGTTTTATCTTGAAACTATATGGTAGCTACAAACACAAGTTGAACTTCAGGCTCAGAAAATTGTGTAGTAGAGTTGAAGGAGATTCCAAATGAACATTATTTTATTTTACATTGTTCTAATATTATTTTTCTTTTGGTTGCTCTGATTAAAATACAATATTTTGTATGTCATTATCAAGCAAAACTTTTGCCTTGAAGAACTGTGTCTAAATTATTGTTTTTGTTTTTTCTGTGATTGAAAACCACAAGTATGCATTTAGCCTTAACAGTTGCTGGCATGTCTTGCTTTTGTTTCTTTTAATAGTTTCATTGCTCCTTTTCTTTTATAAAATACAGAGAGGTTTTAAAAGCTGTAGGTAGGAAATCATATGTCCTGATGAAGGTTGGTTGCATGAATTGTTAACTATTTTCTCTTTAGTCTTTTACAGTTTTTAAAACTGTTTTCCAAATTGTTTTTCGTGCTATTTCTACATGTGTTTGGTGATTGATCTTATACATAGGTTTCTTTGTAATTACTGTCTCATTCTATTATAGGAAGAATGGACCTTCAAAGTTACAGATTTATTTGGTCTTAGATTAAATATCTAAAAGTATGGTAAAAGAAGCACCTAAGTTTTAAATGATTACTAAAATTGAAATGTATGTCCATAAAATACAATACGTACTCTATAAGCTACAAGCTAGTTAATTAACTATCTAGTAGGAAGATTAGATACAGAAGAACCACTTAATAACATGTCCAATGTATTATTTATGACATGGTTATGCACAGGAGGAGGTTAATGGTTTCATAGCAACCTGGATGTTCCTTAAGTGGCAACTCTGCTGGGTAGCCAAGTCTTCTAAGGATGTTGTGAAACTTCCTTGTTTAAAATTATTATCACCTACACTTTAGCCTTGGTTACATTCTCCCATTTCTATGGGAATAAAAACATAAATTATCAGCATAAGAGATTGGAAATAACTATAAATAAGGAATGATTTTAAATTTTGTTTCAAGAGTGTGATTAATCTAACTATATGTGATCTTGTGCTTGTATGTAATTGTCATTGGTTTGCAGAGAACCAATAAAAACAAACAAACAATGTCTAGATGTACTACAAACAGCAAAAGAAAGAAAACTCAGGTAGCTAGATTTGTGCATCACAGTGCATAACAGTAGCAATATTTGTTTTGTATTTTATTTCTGTATATTCAAAGTTTTTATTCTGCTACTAATTTACTAGTAAAATTAAACTTCAAATGTTTTTCATGTCTTCCATTTTGTTTTTTATAAAATAAAGAATATCAATCTTTATAGTTTAATTTCAGTCTTCAGTTACTAAACTTTTGATCATTGTCAAATAAAATTCCAGGCCACATTTCTGGTATAAAGTTTTTGGTTGTAGTTTGTGTATATAAAACTTCAATACACTCTTTGTTGTGTAAAATTTCAGTCCTCAATTGGGGTGTGCATTTTCAGTCCTTATATTTGGTGTAATGCTTCACTTCTTATTTTTGGTACAAAGTTACAGTCCTTGTTTTAGGTATAAATTACCAGTCCTTGTTTTGACATAAATTTGTAATTCTAGTTTCGTTCTAAAATCAATTTCTTTTTTTGCTGTAACCAAACCTTGAAACAAAACACGAGTCTTTAATCCTCAATAAGAGTTCAGTGGGGTTATAACCAAACCATAAAATATATATATATGTTTTTTTTTACGTTTTTGATTTTGATAACTATCTTCCCTTCATTCCCTGACCACGCTTTTATAGTAAATGTTCACCTATTGTATAACTGCTGACTTCTGTTGTTTTATGTTTTGGCACATGATTTCATTACATGGAAGTTTTTCTGGAATGCTAAGTGAGCTACACTGTTACAGCAAAATCCTGAATCATAAAGTACCACTCCCTAGCTTCTCAAAGCTGTAAACAAACAAGTAGGTGGACACCCACCCAACCAGTACTACCATACATAGACTTGTCTACTGCCTGAAGGAAGAGCCATCTGTGCCACTTTAGAATATTTAAAAAATATATATTGCTCATGTTCTTAGGAAGACCTACATCTTAACACAAGCTTTGTTGGTAAAAAGACGTTCTGCATAAAATTTCATGTGAAAATTATTTTTTTTTTTTCAAAAC